CACAATGTCTCTAATTTTTACAATATTTCTCCTCGACATTTCCGACATATGTCCTATATTTTGGTAAGCGACATTTCCATCGACATCGACATTTTAAACCTTGGTGAAGAGTTGTTCTTCCTGTTTATTTTGGCTTTGGTTCTTTTCTTTGATGCTTCTCTGAACATGATTTGTTTCCATACTGTGCCAAGACCTTACTTATTGGTCTACTAACCTCTGTAAGTTGCCTAATTAGGAATCCTAAGGAAAAATGGTCTGATTACTTACACCTTTGACTTAACATTGCTAGAAACTTAATAATCTCATTTGAGTGCTTTAAGTAGAAACCATTTTCTAACCTAAAGAAATCAGAATGTACTATGATTAATAAATGACGTTTTTACTAATAGTTATACTGGAATTACTAAAAGTAGTAGACTCAAAAGCTATCATAAATTATAAGTTTGTTTTTCACTAAACAGTAAAGTTGTAAAAGGCTAGTTGGACTCAACCTGATGAGTACCAAGTAGACATTAAAATCTCTACACCAAAAGAAGTTGACCCGGCTTTTAAAAGAAGCTTAGTTGCAAAACTACCCTGTTAAGAGAGATACAAGGAGCATTCAAATATGTCCAAATCTGATTACTTCATGAATCTACTTTATCTGTACCCTCTTTCAGAAGAGACTTTAATGATTGGGAGATTCAGCAAGTAGGAAATCTCCTAGCTCTGCTCCAAGAGCAGACTCTGAATTTCCAAAGTCAGGATTCAAGAGTGTGGAAGTGGAACAAATCAGGAGAGTTCTCAGTTAAATCCTTCTACAGTTTTTTAGTCAAAGGAAATCAAGTTCCTTTTCCTAGCCGGGCCATTTGGGGAGCAGTGGCACCCTCTAAAATCAAATCTTTTGTTTGGGTGGCAGCTTTAGAGAAATGCCTCACAAAAGAGATGCTGCTGAAGAAAGGTTTTATGTGCAATGACTTGAAATGCAACCTGTGCAGTGTGGAGATGGAATCAGTTAATCATTTGTTTCTACATTGCAAGTTTGTAACTGTGATTTGGAACTATTTTCTAAAGAACTTAAAGGTAAGCTGGAGTATGCCGGCCTCAGTTAGAACATTCTTGGAGGCTTGGCACATATCTGGAATGACAAAGAAGGGGGAATTGTGCTGGTTCTCAAATCCTTTGGCTATTTTGTTGGCAGTTTGGGCTGAAAGGAACAGCAGGACTTTTGATCAGAAAGCCTCCTTGGAGGATGAGGTCATTAACAGGGCTATAGAGCTTCTTAGGAGCTGGTTGTCTATACACACAGGTTTTAAAGAGGATACAACTGATTGTACTTTTTTGAGGTCCTTTTGTTGCAGTTTTTGTACAGTTTCTCGTTGTACAAAGGACCAGTTGATCAATACAATTATACTTTACCTTTTCTCAAAAAAAAAAAAAATCAATCTTGATTCTCTCAGGTGAGTTAATCAAATTTAACTCGCTAGGTGCTTGTATTGTCTAAGCTTGTTGGGTGTTGATGGAGTTTATGTGGCTAGTTTTAGTCAGATTCCTTTTTGTGTCCTATGCCACCTTTATTGCTAAATCGCCACTTATATACAGACTTCTTCCTCTTGATTCCTTCCCCTGGTGAATACCATCAAGAGACACTTATTGGGGATGGGTCCCTTCTTTGAAATTAGAGGACCAACTGTAATTATTTGTCTAAATAAGGCTCCATATAAAGAATGCCACCTTGGTTGGTATTACTAGGACTACAAATAATTTGTTTGGGAAGACTGCCTCTTCCTGACCCATTAGATTGAGAAAGATATTCAGTTCCATTTTCCTGTAAGCAATCTTGATGAAGGTTGTCCTTGTCATTGAAATTTAGAAGGTAGATTGATGAGAAATTCCACCTCCTAACCATTTATTTTAAATTAGGGTCTTAAATCACTGAACAATCATTTGTAAAAGTGAGAGGTTGCTTCCTGTTTGTCATTTATATTTCTTGAAAGAGATTGCTTTTGCATTCCAACATGCATACATCTTGCATAATTCTTTTCCTATCACTATGAGCTTAATTTGATTATAACTAACTTTGATAATTCCTTTGCACTAAGATCTTAACTTAACCTCCTATCAGGCCATCCCACATGCTATAGCTATGGTTAGAGCAGCAGACAAGAAAAGCCCAAGAGAGGCAGTTGAGTTTGTTTTACAGCTCTTGAAGGTATTTCTATTACCAAAAATAACATTTCTTTCAAAGCAATTGAAGTTAAATGAATGGAGTACAAAAGATTCAATACAAGATCAAAATTTTCTAAACGTGCAAACTGTTAATTTATGATCATCTTGTTAGTTAGACCAGACCATTTATTTGAGCTTTGTTTGGTATACAACATCTACTTACGCAATAGCAACAGTTGTACATGGTCCTCTTTGTCATTATAGCTGCTACTGCTGTTGCTTTTTATTATTTATTTATTCATTTTCTGCTCATTGTTGTTATTATTGGAGGCATTTAAGAGAAAGGTTTTCTCTTCTTCTTCTTTGGTATACAACATCTACTCATGCAATAGCAACAGTTGACATGGTCCTCTTTGTCATTATAGCTGCTACTGTTGTTTTTTATTATTTATTTATTCGTTTTTGCTCATTGTTGTTATTGTTGGAGGCATTGTAAGAGAAAGGTTTTGCTAAAGGTAAAGGTTGCAAAAAGTGACTAAAGGTAAAGTTTGCTAAAGGTAAGGTTTTGCTATTTGGAGAAAAGGTGACTGATATATAAAGGTAAAGTTTGCAAAAAGTGAGGGATGCACAAAGATGCATAAAATGTAAAAGTCAGTCCATTAGTTGGGACTTGGGAGGAGAGTTGTTACAATGCAAACCCCAGGTTTGGCTAAACCCTCTGCTATGGTATTCTGATTCCTTGGAATCTATCTAATCTTCTTTCTGGTGCCAATGGTTATCTTTCTTATTTCATTTAGGAAGTGAGCCACTCTCCAAGGTTTTGTCTTTCCTTTGATTTACTTGCATTATTTTCTAGTAAGGAAAATTCATTAAACTGAACTAACCAACTAGGGTAAGCCCCAATACATAGAGGAGCTACTGGCATAAGGATGAACACATGGAGATAGCTCAATCCAGGGGTGCAAGTCAAGCGGGTTGGGCTGGGTTTATGGTCAACCTAGGCCCAACCCTAAAATTTGGGCTTAAGTCCCGAGCTTGAGGTCAAGCCTGATCTTCCAAACTCAATTCCAGCCCGCATTGTAATTTGATGCACTTGGGTTGGGCTCGGGTTGGTCAATGAACTCGCTCTAAACTTATACATGTATGTATGCATTTTTTTTGATAGATTATACATGTACGTATGCATTTATGCAAATATGTATACATGTATGTATGTATATATGTAAATATGCATGCAAATATGTATGTATATATATGCAAAATTTACATATATACATATATATGTATGAATGTGAATAGTTGGGCCGGGCTCAGATCGGGTTTGGGCTACCTAAGGGCTAGGCTCGGGCCCAGCCCCCAAAATAGAAAAACCTGAATTCTTGGGCCCAAGCCCAGCCCGAGGACCGAAAATCCAAGCCCAGCCCGCGTAAAATTTTGGGCTTGGGTTGGGCCCGCCCAAGTTGCACCCCTAGCTCAACCCAATCAAGAATAGACCCTACCTCTTGGATTATGCCTCAATACCCTTGTTTTCCAAATAAAAAAATAAACCTTTGACTTCCTCTTAATGTCTGATATGTGAAAAGACCAAGGAAATTATTGAAAAACCACAATTATGCAGTGATTGGCCACGGCATGAATTATATTGTCATGGATATTACTATTACAGTGTCAGCGTCTATCACTATCCATGAAAATGTGCTGGTTCCACCACTTGCAACTGTCTTTGGAGCATCACTTAAACTGTTCCAAATAATCTACAATGAAGAAAGCTAGAAACATTAGTGAAACAGCTTTGGATTAGCTATCTAAAAGAGCGCTCTGTTTCCTGTTTTTGTTTTTATTCAGTGCATGAAGTATGAGATATTGGAACAAGGTTTTGTAGAGGGAAGCCCATTTACAAGTAATGACACAGTGGGGGATCTGCAATTACAAGCCAAAGAATTCATGGTCTTTATGCATGATTAATGTACATAGGGCTATAGTAAAAAAAGTGAAATATGTACTCTCCTGGATTCCCTGCAGGTGGATAGAAAATAGCAGTCTGTGAGAATAATCTTGTTAAATATTGCTTCCTTGAATGAGGTGTGGCCTTAAGCTATTTGAGTGTCCATACTTGTGGCCTACTCACAAGACAACTCATGACCTAGGTCCATTCTAGCAGTTTTCACTAGGGTTGCAACTTGGGCAGACTTGGGTTTGGCTTTATTAAATTTTGAATGGGCCTGGCCTGAAGGCTCGAGCCTGAAGCAGTGTAAAATGCTAACTCAGGCCAACCCATGTTGCACCCCTAGTTTTGGCCAGTTCAGGTGCGGCTCATGGAGGTTCTCTCAATCAATGCAATCAAAGATTTGATTTGACATCAAATCAATAATGGAATTGATAGAGGTTGAAAATATCCTATAGATGTAACTAGATTTCAGTTTCTTTTCTTTATTAGCAATTTTTTTTTAAGAAAGTAAAGTATTGTATTAAAACAAAAAAAACTACAGACCACTATCCCTGCCACAGCAAGATACTGTGCTCAACAAGACCAAGACTATACATCCATTTACTCTTTAATAATTACAAAAAGGAGAATAAAAAAAATGAAAAAAGAGCTATAAGGGGTGTCCCCAAAACACCTATGTTACTGCTACCCATGAGTATATTCTGCCCCAAACAAGACCAAGACTATACATCCATTTGCTCTTTAACAATTACATAAAAGAGAAACAGAAATGGAAAAAAGAGCTATAAGGGGTGTCCCCAAATCACTTTCTTCCTTTACTCAGCCCAGGAAAATGCCAACTTTTCAGGAATGCTTCTACAGTCTCAGGAAAACACAATTAGACCCCAAAACGTCCAGCAATCTAGCCCATAATCTTCTTACAAAACTGCCATGAAAGAACATGTGATCCACCGACTGTATTATCATTGCACATAATACAGTTGACGTTATCAACCAGAAAGCCCCTTCTCAAGAGATTACCAGTGGTCAAACACTTAATCAGAGCAGCAGTCCTTAACAGGAAAGCAACCTTACACCAAATCCTAGCCTAAGGGATTTGGGTTTTTCCCTGCCCAGTCAACCTGTTATACAATGATTTGATTAAGAAGTGAGAAGAAATCATCCTTCACCTCCACACTCTCTTATCAGTCCCTGAGCTGCTAGGGCTCACTGAGCCTTCCTTCTGGAACAGCCCAATAAATTGATTAATCAATCTCCCAGTCATTTAGGTTTCTCCTAAGTGAATGTTTGGTTTGAAAGAAAAAGTAGGGAAACCTTTACACCCTACCTTTCCCTACCTTTTCCTTCAAACCAAACATAGCCTAAAAGTAGGATTCCACACCCCTGCATCTCTGTGATAAACAAATCAGCAACCAGGCCTATGACCTCAAACAGGAAAAGGAGCAATTCTTGTAAAGTGTGCTCCTCATACTAGGGATCCAGCCAAAACCTTATTTTCTTTCCATCATCTATTCTTTATTTATTGCCTTTCAAAGAATCTGGCTTTGCTTGCTGGATTCCTTTCCACAGCGCACAACCATAGCTTGTGCTAATGTCATCCAGGTCCCAAGCCCCATACTCAGAGCCATTCTTAGCAGAAATGATCTCCTCCATAAACTGTCCTCATTGTCATTGTATCTCCAGTGCCATTTGTCTAACTAAGCCTTGTTAAGTACTTCAATTTTCTGATGCCCAAACCTCCATCCTGCTTAGGATAACAAACCTTGTTCCAATTAACCAAGTGCATTTTATAGTCATCCTTCCATCCCACCTGTAGGAGGTCCCTCATCTTTTGTTCCAAAACCCCTGCCACACTAGCTGGTATAGGGAAGAGTGACATCACTTAAGTTGGAAGAGAACTCAAAACACCTATATATATCATTATAATTTGGAAGTGTTTACTTGCTTAGTTGCATTTGTTAGGAAGATAATTATTTTATAGATCTTAAGATGATTTGATGTTCATCTATGTATATCATTGTAGAGACCATTTGATAATTGATTAATGATTAAATGAAATTTGAATTGTTTTTTCAATTTTATGGTTTGGTGCGGACTCCTAGAGAAACCTAATGGTGCTGACCATTGGGCTTTTATTTTTTTCCTTACAAACAGGTATTTTATCTATGTTTGTTCAATTTTGGTTGAATCTGTCATTTGTCTTCAATTTGTTGTTCTTTTCCTTGTTTGGTCCAATATTTCTTCAATTGCAAGCTTATCCCTCTAGTTCTCTTTATTTCTTCTTTATTTTCTCAGTGGTTAACCTCTTTCTTCTTTACTTCTTCTGTTTCTAGACTTTCTGCATTTCTCTTAGAACATTAGAGACTAAATCTTTAATATTCTAGTCCCTTTGATCCCTCTAGAACTCTACTAGCCTTCTGTTTCACTTAACCATCACATGGGTCTTGTTTGAAACCCTTTTCTACTGACATACTGGTTCTATTTTCACTTTTTTTGTTGATCGTTTGAGCTCTCAAGTTCTGTCCAACCTATTTTGTTGGGTAAACCTAAGCTATATCCCAATGTAGCAAGCTTTGTGACCTGGTTCCAGCTTATCTTAGGTCCATTTCAGCCATCTAATTATCCCACTTTTTGGGTGGTTTCTGCATCACTTTCATTCCAAACAGTCCATAGAATTTTCACCCTTGTCTAAGCCTGCATCATTTGGCTGCACCCAAGAAGCACCAAAAAAGGGGAAAAACTGGTTTATATTTCAATATAAGCACAAAAAAGGAGAAGATGATTGATATTCTCACTATTATTGCGGTGTATGACATACACATAACCTAGTTTTCCTTCTTAGGAGCATCCTTTTGATGTTTGAATTTTAATCATATTTAACACTGCCTCATATCAAAATGCTTTAATCTTAGAAGCACTAGGACAACCCAAATGGGTGATGCTGGAAGGTTGGTGGGGGGGGGGGGGGCATCTAGATTTATAAGAAACAAAGAACTGGGTCCAAGACATCTTTTTTGAAGTTAACATGGGAGGTGGTCTCTTCACTATCATTATCCTTAAGATCCCTCCAAATTCTAAAATCCTGGTACATACCTGCAGGAGAGAAATTAACTGCAGTTGGTCATAATGTTAGTGGAGAGTAATGTTTTTTTTTCTTTGTTAAACTGCTTTATTGTTATATGATGTTTTTTTTTTATTTTTTTTATTTTTGCACTGTATGCCATGCTTGGGGCTCATCTCTGCTTCATGCTTGTTTTGTTGTGTTGCAGTATAATGATAACAATGGGAATCCTTATTCTGATGTGTATTGGCTTTCTGCATTGGTTGAGTCGGTTGGTGAGCTCGAATTTGGAACACAGGTCTTCTTCTTCTTCTTCTTCATGTGTGAAGTGTAATAGTCTTCATTATTGATTAATGTTTGTTCTAAGCTTTAGTTAGGTGGTGTATCATTTTACTTTGTTGCCATTTTTTGTCCATGTTAGAGTTCAGACTCGGTTATTTGCTATGATGTTTCTTGGTTTGATTTTATACTTTATGCATATGCCGGTAAGTTGGTTACTCTAAGTTGCTTGATTATTTATTCTTGTTGCTTTATGTTCATAACTGTTGGCAAACTGTGCTTAGAACCCTGCCCCTTAAAACTGAAGCTAGGCCTTCTTGTTAGTTCAACAAGATGCAACAGAATAAGGCTTAGTCAGTGGATTCAACAGTTAATCAAGATATAACTCTTATGATTAACTTTTATACTGAATCAAGAGCTGTAGCTACAACAAACAAATCAACAATATAATAGCAGAAGCTGCAGGGATAGCAGTTAAGAAATGTAAATCAATAAGAACAAATAATTACTAACAAGCGGATAGCAGCTGAAATGAAATATAATAATTAGATAGGCAGTTTGCCATCAGGTTAGTGGTAATACAGTTATATAAGTTAATATAAACATTGAAAGTAAAAAACTGTAGAATGTAAATGGGCAACTGAACGTAAATTGTGCAGAATGTAAACGGCAGTTGCACTGGTGGTGTGTGCCTGAAATAGCAGCTAGAGGACTAACCACTAATAGAGTAATAGATAGCTGAGAAATGGACCAGCTACAAGAAGGTAGCTGAGTGAAGGATCAACTACTTAAAGTAATATCAACTTGAGATTTACTACCAGAATTTCAAGGATAAATCTAATTGCAGAAATGTAAATGGTACAGTTGAATAATAAATGAACAATAAAGATAAATGACTGTAAATGTAAAGCAGTTGGAATAAATGGTTAACAGTAATTGCACTAAGAAATCTTGTATCTTGTAGATCTAAAGAAAGAAAACAAAAGTGCAAAGTCTGCAAGATCACAAGGGACTCAACTTAAGTTATTGCAGTCAGCAGAAAATGCTATCAAACAGGTTCTGCTACCATCGTAAGGAACTGTTCAACCTAAAAGCTTAAACTGTTAGGTGAGGTCCCTGAATAGGTTTTTATTCTCTAACAATTCTAATGACTCAAATGTAGCTTTCTGTTCTCTAACTTGGATTATTTTGCTTCATTTTATTCTTGTCAAGTTTGTAAACCTTGGGATGGCAGAGGGAGATGAATGTGGTTTCGTGAATTTATTGATAACAATTAAATTATGTTCTGAACTAATTTCTTATGTAATATTTTCTATTTCTCTACATGATGTTACAATTTTGTTTATCATATACCTTTTTTCCCTGTATAAATGCACTGAAGTAAATGTTCTTTTTTGTAATGCTATTTCAGCTATCATTTTAAAAAGTTTCTTTTAATCTCTTGGCAGAGTATATCATTTTTATCATCTCTTCTCAAACGCATAGATCGGCTTTTGCAATTTGACAGGTGAATGTTTCTAGTACATTGTGGATACTCAGAATTCATTAAATAGTACTTGTATTGATTGCATGTGTTTGGATATCTGGAACCAGGCTGATGCCAAGCTACAATGGGATCTTGACAATCAGCTGTATCCGGACCTTGACACAGATTGCATTAAAGCTTTCATCCTCCATACCCCTTGTAAGATTTTTGTCCAGTATACCATTATAAATCTTTTCATGTTTTAAATTTAATATTTGTTACTTGATGATGCAGGATGGTGTGTTCCAACTTATTAAACCATTCCGGAGTTCTGAGACACAATGGCAAGTTCGAATTGAAGCAAGTAGAGCACTTCTTGACATTGAATTTCAAAGTAAAGGCATTGATGCAGCATTATCACTGTTTGTGAAATACTTGGAGGAAGAGGTGTCCTACCGAGGTTTGAATCATTCATATCTAGTATTGATTAGCGGTGATTGGGGGTTGATGGAATATTAGGGTCCTATAGTAATGTCTGCCTGGCCCAAGCCTTGGGCCTATCTTTGGTCTTGGGTCTAAACATTTGGGACCTACAAAGGCTTGACCTCCTGGACTAATGAACTTACCTGCTTTCTTTTATGTTCAAAATTTTCTATTAACATGAGTTCATCTTTCAGTGGTAGGGCATCTGACTATTGTTCAAGAAGTCACCGTTTTAAAATTGGTTAGGTCCTCAAAGCTATTATATTCTTGATTACCAAATTAAAAGGAAATTACCATTTTCTTTCTATTCTATTATCAACAAAAAAATTCATCACCTATTGGCAGGTTGGCTGGCTATGATATAGTTTAACTAGTCCATAGGGGTGCTCATCAAAAACCAAACCAAACCGATGAAACCGAATCGAAATATATGGTTACTGGATCGGTCAGTTTGGTGTCTTTGAAAAACATAAGGTAACCGGTTCAGTGTCAGTTAACCAATATGAAAAATCAGTGGTTAACCGAACTGACCGGTATATATATTCTATATATGTTTATACATATTCTATATATATTATATTTATTTTTCATATATATTATACATTGTATATAAATATATATTATATTATTTATAATATATAATATATTATTATAAATTAAAAAATGAAAAATCGAAGAACTGAACTGGTCAACCAGTTAACTAATTGCTTTTGGTTTGGTTTTGCTTTTTGGTTTTCCAAAAACCAAAAGACTGGTTTGGTTTGGAAAAAAGGCCCATTAACCGAACCATGAGCACCCCTATTGGTCTGTAAAGAATGCAAACAATATATGTGTGTGTGTGTGTGTGTGTACAGATTCTGGGTCAGGCTGAGGCCCTGGTCTAACCTATCCTATGCCCTGTCCTGCATGGGCAAATCTGGGAGCCTTTGCTAACTAGTAACCCCACCATTGGCCCTATCTTGCTATGCATAGAATATATAATTTGAGCTCACTGTATGCTCTTTGGTTTCAGGGCAGGTGAAGTTGGCTGTCCATGCTATGCGATTATGTCAGATAAAATGTGGTTCTAAGTGTGAAGATGTCATAAAAAACCCGACATTAGTGGCTTTGCTTCGTTTTCTTGAAAGCCGGAAAGCTTTCAACAATGTCTTCCTTCGGCATCACTTGTTTTGCATTTTACAAATTCTTGGTGGGAGGTGAGCATTATTCTATTCAATTTTCATCAGATTTGGGAGGGCCCTAATTTCTGGAATAGCTATACGAATGCCAAATCCTTGTTTGTTAAGGAATAATGCTAGGGAAACAAATTCATTTTACCACACACACACACAATGGGCAAACTATAGATCGTGCCATACCCTTAAATACATACATACACACATTGCTTTACATGCTTGTATTGCCATGTGCTTATTTTTGCTAGCTATAATTCTTTCTTAAATGACCTTGTTTTCTTCAAGCTACACATATTGCTCTATTGTGAATGCTTTATTTCTGATGTTTCTGAAATTATGTGAAAGTTGCCTTTCTGGGAAAAGTGTAATCTGAAAGCTACTCATATATACAGTGTTTTAAAAGGGTAAGGCACAAAAAAGTGTTAAGGGGAATTTTGCACTTGAGGCACCTTTCTGAAGCAAGGTGCAAAAATGCAAAAAATTGCTAAGAAATTCAAGAAAATGCCAAAAATATTAAGCATAATATAATAATAAAGATTGACAAATTTTAAAATAAATGTTTTAAAAAACCTATTGTCTCAAATTAACATACATACACGTAACATGTAAAATATATTGAAAATAAAAGTAAGAATAAAATCAAACATATGAAACATATTCAAGCATATAAAACTTTTGGTCTCTTTTATTTTTTTACCAATTACGTTATTTCAAATAGCTAATGTGATGTTAAACATTTTGCATTCCTGATTCTATGAGCCACCTTTGTATCAAGCCCTTTGAGGTAAGGACAAATAAGTCCATGTTAGGGTCTTATATTCCTAATCCCTACAAAAAAAAGATTTTATAATTTTAATTGTCTTTTAAAAATATCTTTTATTAAGATGAATGAATGAAGTCAATGAACAACATTTGCAAATAGGGGCAAGGTTCAAAATTTCGATAGGTATTAGGCTGTATGGGCCGATACGTATCGTATAGGTGGCTTCCTAATATGCCCCTATAGGGGGTGTTTTGGGGACTGGCCTGGTTCAAGGGGTAGGCAGGCCTTAAACCAACGCCTTTGAACCAGTTTCAAAGAAAAACAAAAAAAAAGTAAATAAATAAAAGGCGAGCAAAGATATAGGTCGATGCGCCCCTATTGGCGTATCAACCTGTATTGATATTTCGAACCTTGAATAGGGGGTTCTACTCCACTACAGTTTTCTCGCTTTGGTGTCACCCCCTATTTACTAATGTTGTCCATTCATTTATTCTAATAAAAATATATTTTTAAAATATAATTAAATTTATAAATCATTTTTTTATAGGGAATAAGAATGTAAGATCCTAACATGGACTTATTTGGGCTTGCCTCAAGGCACAACTACTAGGATTAAAAAGAGAGAAAATTGTACAAATTTTTAAAAGACACACCTGTGCTGTAGTGCAAGGCACACTAGGTGTACACCCTTTTAAAGTGTTACACCTAGGACCTAGGCAAGGCACATACCTTAAAATATGCCTCACCTGTGTGCCTAGGCACACTTGAGGCATGCCTTTTAAATCATTGCATATATATTGGTCACCATTATCATCATCCATGCCTTATCCCAACTATATATTGTCTGCTATATGAATCTGTTTCACCAGTCTGTCTATTTAAAGCCATATCCAATGTGAAATTATTAGTGCTTAAATCATTTCTTACTACTTCTACCCATGTCCCTTTTGGTCTACCACTCTACCCTGAACTCTTCTAGCCCCTTCAATGTGTAACAAATCACTTCTTCTAATTGGTGCAGTTGGTGGTCTTCTATGCACATGCCCAAACCATCATAGTCTACTCTCTCTCATTTTATCAACTATTGGAGCTATTCCTAGGTTCCTATGGATAACTTCATTCCTAATCCCATCCTTTCTAGTTTTTTCACCCATCCATCTTAGCATTTGCATTTCTACCACATTCATTTTCTAGACATCATATAACATATCTGGCCTTACAATTGTTTTATAGAATTTTCCTTTTAATCCAAGTGGTATTCATCTATCACATAAAAGTTTAGATGCATTCCTCCATTTTGTCCATCCTACTCCCCTCCGGTTCACATGTTTCACTCGCTCACCGAAGCTCCAAGAACCCCCTATTTGCTAATGTTGTTCATTCATTCATTCGTCCTAATAAAATATCTTCTTAAAAAGCAATTAAAATTATAAAATCATAATTTTTCTTTTGTGTGAGAACTAAGAATTTAAGACCTTAACATGGACCTATTTGGGCTTGCCTCGAGGGGTGTGGCACAAAAGCGGCTCGTAGAATCAAGAATGTAATATGTTTTACATCACATTAGCTACTTGAAGTAATACGATTAAGGAAAAAAGAGATTATGGATTTTACATACTTGAAAATGCTTTATATGTTTGATTTTATTTTTAAAATTTTATTTGAATACGCTTTACATGTTATGTTTATGTATTTTAATTTTAGATAATAGGTTTTTTAAAACATTTATTTTAAAATTTACGTATATATTTTTTTATTAATCTTGTTTAATATTTTTTTTTGATTTTTTGGCTTTTTTTTTTGTACTTATGCGCTTTGCTTCAAAAAGGCATGCACCTCGCCTTGTGCCTTGCGCCTCAAACGCAAATTGGCCCCTGTGCCTTTTTTGCACCTTGTGCTTTTATAACATTGTATGTCATATACTCTATTTTTGTCGTACTTATTTTAAAACCTCTTGTTTCTAAGGCTTTTGTCCATAAGCTTAATTTTGCATTTAATCCTTCATTAGTTTTATGTCTTATCAATTAAAACAATGTCACCACAAACAACATGCACCATGGAACTTCCTCCTGAACTGCATATATATTGGTATTTTAACAAAACGAAGATGTGGCTGCATGTATCTATTATTATTCTAAGGTATTATCTGAAAATGCTCTTGTTTATCGTATGCTAGATAATAATGCCATAATTTCTTAGGGGGCTCAGCCAAACTTCAGCATATCCTTGATTTGATGCTGATTGGCTAGGCTATCTTCCACAGAATTGGCCTCTATGTGCATGCTTGTGGCAGCATAGTTTGACACTGAATCGTTAGCTATAGTTATTAGTATTACCATCAATTTGTTTATTTTGCTTTCAATGTTATCAGCACAATATTGAAGTTTCTACCAAACAAAGCACACCATTATGCTTTTCCTTTAATATTATGGTGCAAGTTGACACCCTAGCTCCCATCTTCAGGCCACCAACACTTTATGGAGTCCCCAGAGTCCAGCAACAGCCAATAGGAAATGGAGAAACCTGCAGTGAACAAAAGAATTTTGCAGCCTTTGTGAAGATGAGGACATCTAAGCCTCAGGAACATCCAGTAGACGTGCCAAAACTTCCTCAGGAACCTCCAGTGGACACACCAAAACCTTCAGCTGATGGTTTGCTCATCCCAGAAGCTACCAGGGAAGCAGATAGAACTTCCAATGGTAATGAACGAAGAATGCCTGTTGTTAAGATCAGGGTCAAACAATCTGCTGCATCCAGCAGAGTAGAGGAGGCTGATAATACAATTGATAGGTCTCAAGGTGGACAGAATGAAACTGAGCGTGGTGCCAGCAGTTCCATGTCTGTAGATGCACCCCCAAGGATGATGAATGAACTTGTTTGTGCTAGCAATCAAAATCTTGAAGAAGTAAACTCATTTCATGACCGTGGTTCTCGAATGACTGCAAGCATTGGCAGTGCCAAACTCCCAAATGATGATGATGATGAGGCTGGGAAGGAATTGCAGTGCACTGCTGACTCAAGAAAAAGTGATGCTTTGCCCCAGGTTGAGGATAGGTCATCACCTGGCATTGTCAGGGGTGACAATGGAGAAGGAGAGGTACAAAAATATGCAAGTCTTCAACTTCTTTCTGTTGGGAAAAATGACCAGGATGGTGCTGCATTGTCCATGGGGGAACCACATGTTCGTGAGAAAGAGAAAGAAGAAAAGAAGAAGAAGAAAAAGGACAAGGAAAAGAAACGGAAAAGGGAAGATAAAGAAGGCCATAAGGGACACCGTGACGACCCCGAGTATTTAGAGCGCAAGCGTCTGAAGAAGGAGAAGAAACAGAAGAAGAAAGAGATGGAAAGGTTGCAAAAAGCAGAGGCAAAGGCATCTTCATCAGAACTGCAGGGTAAGAGAGATGAGCCCAGAGTCAAGTCAGCGACGGTCGAGTTGAAACCCATTGAACCTAGTGGTTCCAAATTAGTGATAAAGAGTGTAGAAACTAAAGAGGAGGCTTCAGAAGGTGGTTCGGTTCACAAGCTCCGGATTAAACTAAAAAAATCAACTTCTTAGATAAATCGCCATCACATAATGAATAGGTGGTATATGTAAAGATATTAGAAGCGGCTCTCAAGTTTTTAGAGTATATTGAGCTGAAAAATAGTTTCTTCCATTTGTATGTGACTTGTACCTAGTGCTAATTTGATAGTCTAACCTGATGTAGTTGGAAAGAATGAGATGTATCCAATAGAACTTATGCATTAAAAGCATATATGATTGGATTTTGTTTGTTTCTTGCACGCTTATGAACGCATTATTATTGAGGCTGACTTAAGTCAAAATAATGAATGTTACTTGCAATTGATTAAGGCTGTCAGTGAAATTTCTAATGTCCGCCTTCTATTATTCTCATTCTTTAATTTGGTGCAAGGTTTAAAGTATCGATACGTATCGGCCTGCATCGTATCAATGGCTTTTCGATATGCCTTTACAGGAGTTGTATCGGATCAGGCCATGGTTCAGAGGGTTATCTGGACTTAAACTGACCCCTTTGAATCGATTTTGAAAAAAAAATAAATAAAACTTTAAAAAAAGCACCGATACAGGCTAATAAGCCCTACCGGCATATTGCCCCGTGTCGATATATAGAACCTTCATTTGGTGAGACCTATTTCATTGAAGTGAGGAATGAAGAATACTAGGGTGAAAGACAATTGATGTGGCTCAGTTGGTAGGAGGATCTTTGACTCGTTGGACTAGAGAGACCTCCAGGATTGGAGGGGGGGGGGTGTCAAAGGAGGGGGATGGGCTACGCCCTGATGTGTAGCCCATGAAGGTAAAAAAAAGAAAAAGAAAAATAAATAAATAAAATTAGGATAAAAAACTTGCACCTCTTTTGAGGTTTCTCCCGAGTACTAACAAACAAGGCATCCGTGTTTGGTTGAAGCTGTTGTTATAGAACAGTGACTTCAAGTTATTTTCTAGTTGGGGGTGTAATGGCGTGACAGTAATTCCTATTACACAGGATTAATACGAGGAACGGGCAGATGCTATGAAGGGACAGATTATACTTGAGAGTCGGAAATGTCTCAAATTAAAATCCCTTCCTTTGGTAAAAGCAAGGAAACTGCAGAGATGTTTATGAAGGGAGGTTCAAGTCTTTTACCCTAGAATTTAAGAATAAATCATAATTGAAGTCCAAGGGTTGGAAGGGTTAGTCGGGTAAGTAGGGTGTGGGGGAGCCTTCCCAAATGAGTACAGACAGCCTACCCAATCTTAACGCTTGGGTGGATGATGTGGTTGATGCAAACCATTCAGCAAGTAAAAAGAGGCCCTATGGACTTGCCCCTTATTTGATCCTCCAGCCTACATAGGCTCTTTTAGACCACCTATTGATAATTTTCCCAACTAATTTTAGCTGTTCAAATTTATAATTTTTAACCTAATTTGTGCTCATAGAAAGGGTTTATGGGATTGCATTCTAGACTAATTTGTCACCACTTCCCATACAACATTTACATAATTCTTAAGATCTAGGGAGGTTACATTGTCATTTCAAGAGAAAGATGACTTACTATTTCTCCCTTTTATATGATGGGGCTTACTATTGAACTGAACCTCTGTCGTCCACGGAGGCCAATTAGGTTAAGATTTAGGGGATGTTTGGTACCATTGCAGCTTTTTTGAGAAAACAGTATCACATAGGTACCGATTCAGCGTTTTGCATAAATGGTGTCATCTTCTATTTGATCCGTTTTTCCAAAAAAAAAAAAAAACGTAAAAATGCATTGCCTTGGAACTTGAGAAAACCAATTTTCTGTGAAATGTCGTTTATGACGTTTTCTACTACGGCTAACCGTTGCTTGCAATGGTTGGACGACATGACGTCGATATGGCAGCAAGGATATGCTGTTTTCTAGCCCGTTGCTCCAGAAAATGATGACACATCAGCGTTATGTCGAAAAAAAAACGATGTTTCAGGAAATGTCAATATGTTTGGAACCCAAGCCATGCCTTGGAAATCGAGAAGGCGTGGTTTGGAACAACATCAATTTTGACGTTTTCTCAGATTGGAGCTTGTTGCTTCCATTGAGGACATGATGTGGCAGTGACACAGACTTCCTATAATGTGCATCAGTGCTGAAAACAGATATGGAGCACTGGTAACAAACGAAAAGTGTTGTTATTGCTTCAGGAAACGTCCTACCTAGCAACAATGGCATTACATTCTCAGAAAACGGTCAACCCACACATTAGCAGAAAATGGTGCTATATCTGCAACATCGATGCCAAACATATACATAAAGTATTGCTGCATCTGCTTAGGTGGGAGCAACACTACCAAACAAAATGTATGGCCATTTTCTTACCATTGCATGGATGTTTTCTGAGAAAATGTTTCTTAAGAAACAGCAGTGGTACCAAACTCCACCTTAGTTGGAACATAGTTATTAGAGCTGCAAATGGTATCTGTTTATCAGAATTCGAGTTGAATTTTGATTTGGTTGGTCTAAATTTGATCCGTTTATAATTGGATTGAATATGGATCCCTACCGTATCTAATCCCATATAATCTAATTTTATTTTATATAATAGTAATTACTTATATATATCATTATAATTTATTTTCATTACATTTTGTTCATGATATATGATATCAGTCATTTTTAGTTCATTTTACTTATAATATATAATATTTTAACCATTTTTTATTTAATTTATTAACGCTATTCAAATCCAATTGCAATACAAATTGGATAAACCGATGGATTAGATTAGATTGAATAAAAAAAATCAAATTTGTATCTACCTTAGTTGCATTGGTTCTGTATCCGTTTGCAGTCGTTAGTTGCATTGGTTCTGTATCATTTTGTCCTGATATCCAAACATGAGATACGTTGTTTCAGACCCAATCAGCAAATGTTAGATCTTTAAATATTTTTTTGTTCTTTTTTTTTTTTTTACAATCATGGAAATCCTATTCGAATATAGTCAGATGTATAAATTTGATTGCTCTGTATTCGGATTTGAATCCAATATTATCCAATATAAGTCGGATTAGATTTGGATGTTGAATACCATTAATAGAATGAACTAAAAATGACAATGATATTTGATACTTGAACCTATGACTCGAATACCAAAAAACCTATGACTCTTTAATAAATATAAAAGATTCAAACCAACTTCACTAAGAGGTACATATTATTTTTTTGTAGATTTATGTATTATTGGATTGGATTTAGGTGGATCCATATCTGATCTATATATTATATAAACTGATCAAAATTAAATCAGATTACCTTATTGGATCAGGCTCAAATTCAAATTTGGATAAACAGATGTCATTTTCAGCCCTACTTGCACAGTACCTTTGTATAGATTGTGGTGGTGTTTGGTTTTCTGGGTGTTTATTGAAAAAACACTGTTACATCAGTATCACATAAGTGTTGGTATTTATTGCATATGAAACTATTGTTTGGTTTCACCGTTTGTCAAATAAATACTATAAAATTAAAAGAATTTAATTTTTGTGTATGGGGCATTTGGGGTTTCCCCAGTGCCCCAGCATTCCTTGAAACTGAATATGTGGTACACTTTTACGGGTGTTAATTTGATATGAAAAGTAAAAAACATTTAAAGCAACGCACAACCAAACATCAAAAGCAAGAAACCTTTAAAATAAAAAACATAAAACTGTACAAATAAATGTTTAAAATAATAAATGACTCGTCTATAAACGCTCATGAAACCAAACTTATAATTATTTTGTCTAGCTTAACCAGATAGTTGCTTGTTTGTTGCAGAGTCTTGGGTCTAGGGCTACAGCCTATTGAGGGACTTTTAGCTCCCTTCGATTGACATGTTTTCCATATCCACGGCATAAACAACTATACCACTCCAGGATACTCCTTCTTTTAGAAGTGGCCTTTACAAAAATAATCTAATTTCTACATTATTTTCTGAGAATCCTTAATTTCTTGGGCTCAGAATCCTTGCTTCCCCATTATTCAAATGAATGCACCGAAAACACACAACTGTTCTTATCTGTGTGTTAATCATTTTTCCCTATCCATTAACTAGTGGGACCCCATTCTTCAGAAACGGGGCACTGGCGAGTTATGGGTCCATGACCATTTTCTTCGGGTCATCTCCTCTAGCCCAGAACCCTATGGACCAGGTCCACTTTGGTCAAGTTTCAGTGAACTAGTTAAGATGTCAAAACAGTGTTAGTTGTACCTTAACAACTACCTTTAGGGTACTGGCTAGGACAGCCATTATCGTTTCAGCATAAAAGAACAGCAAGATAGTGGTCATGTAGTGAAGACTCTATGACCCAATTCATGGCTAGATGCATCTCTAGAGATATAATAATTTAATTAAGTGGGACCCATTATTATATGTGTCCAAATGATCACAGTTCCCTAGAATAATGATGCTTTCATAACAACTTTGGATCTTGAAACGGGCTGCTTCTGTATCTGTTTGTTGATTTATTGTTAATCAAACAATTCAAACACTGAGTAACTGAGGGACTGTGACTGTGAGGCGAGGAACCCTAGCCAAGCCACTGACGTTGGGGAGAAGGACAAACAGCAGCTGCTTTTATTGACCAAGATATCCCTTGTGTGTTGTCCTTTAGTCAGAACATTGATGGGAAAGAAGGCGCTGGAGTACGACGCTTAATCGAGTTTCCTTAGCATTCCCAAAGAAATTTTGACTGGTTAAAAATTAAAATCGTTTTCGGGTACAAAGAAAAAGAACTCGAGAAAAAACAAAACTGATTTCTAGCAGAAAATTTTGAATGGGTACGGTTGCCGCGTGAGTCTTTTCTTGTTTTTTCCCTACTTTTCTTTTCCTTGTTTGTGAAAGTTTCCTTCCAAAAGAAAAACGGAGAGACAGTGTGGGGAGTTTTTCTTCGATCAACGATACGTTTAAAAAAGTAAAAACATTAGATAGAGAAGTCTAGAAAAGAAAAAGAAAGGCAGATGGTCCAATGTCATCGATCGAACAATGCTGATTCTTGCTGCTGCGAGCAAGAAACAAAAATTCATTCAATGGTAAGTTCTGAATCTCTGGAGTTATACAAGTTAATATAAGGTTGAGAACTCAGCTAAGACTCTCTCCTTACAGATCTACTAATAATGCAGTTTGATTTTTTAACCATGTGGGTTGGTGCTTAACTACATGATTATCAAAAAATGAGAAAATACTGAAAAGTTAAGCATGCAAGACTAGAGAATAACTCCATAATTAATGAAGCCAAACGGGGGAAATTAAGGATGAAGGTTTCGTCTTCATGGAGTTAAAACTGTATTATTGATTAGATATTAAATATCAGGAGATATAAACTCGTAGCCTTACGTCATGAGAGCAGATTGC